CTGCAGTCCTCTCTGGTCAACTCGTCATTAGCTGAGGCCTGTCGAGTTATCCCACGGGACCGGAGTTCGTCGCCAACACCACGCTTCGACGATGCCCGGAGCCGTGGCCACTGCTTCCGCTTTGATTGATGCCCTAAAATCAATCTCTACAAGGGTCTCGACTTCCAGAAACACGGGCGCCTGTGCCGGTGGCGCCGTCGATCCTGGGCATCAGTAACCTCCTTTTGGATAAATGTCCACCACCATGCAATGCCACCATGCCAACCCTCACGCAGTACTCGGTAGCCATGCACTCTTTTCTAGCTTGGCAATATGATAGGGGTTATGACTCAAGGATTCCTCATCCATAGGACGTGATGCAATCGGGCGCTGCCCTTGCGGTATAAACCTGTTAGTCTCTTATATTGCAAGATTGAGAATTGAATTTGAGGCGCGCACCATGAACATGGTGGCGTCTGAATACCACACATCAGTTGACTCTTGCGATGGCGCCACGGTGGGTCAACTCGGGCAACGCAAGTCATTGCAACACCGACCCTACAATGTCTGGTATGCTTCCTTCAGCGATCCATGGGGGGCGGTAGTGCTACATGTCCCACCAGACCTGTTGCATGTATAAGGTGAGGGAAGTCAGCACGAGACTCGGTATCGCAGAGCAACCAGACAAGCTGTTGCCATTGATTGTATTCTACTGCGCTTGGTTTCCCCAACAAATTCGTAGTATTTCCAGAGGCAGCTGACGGAAGGTCGATAGGATTCTCTGTCAGCTGAAGCAAAACAAGTAAGAAATCGTATGTAGTAGTTGCTCCGTGCAGGTCTCCATCTCGCAAGAATAGCCGTGACAGTCCCATAGCCCACATCTCGGCAGTTGTTGACATTGTCACCAGAGTGTGCAGGCGACGTGCCTACTAGTGCCATCGTATGTCAAGGGAAGCTCGCAAGAAGGGACCAAGCAAACGCCGCGGATAACATGTAGGCTTGCCATTGGGAACGGAGAAAACACCATTCGGAGCGGGCGGTACCGATCCCGGTGATATCAAACGCCAAGTCCGTTGTTGCTTTGCACCAAAACTTCAAGTGTTGGGCAAAGGGTGGATGATGCACAAGCCGCAGCCGCCTTTTCTCCTAATGCCTGGTCAGTGAATGCAGGGGAAGGGCACGTGGACAGCCAATGCGAGAGTCCTCCCTCTCCAACGCCATCACAGCATCATGAATTTGACGTTTATCATGTCTGCCATGTTGATGTTGGGTTGAAAATGCTTTGGTCGTAGACCGGTGAAGATGCGGATGCTTGCTGATCAGTCAGAGAGTGGCGTTACACAAACAGAGATCAGGTGTCGTCTACGGTCAACGGTCCCAGTGCGGTTGAAGGCAGATGCAGGGAAATGCATGGAGTAGTACTCCGTAGCAAGGCTCAATTGCTGGTGCAGGTCGCGACTTCCACGTAGCGCGGCTAAGTGAGCGCACCTTCCCTGTGGGAGCTACGAAGCCCAGAAGCCAAGAATATTGGATTGGGCAAAGGTCCTCGGGCTCTCGGTTAAGTCTTTTTTTTTCACCCTTGAATCAATTGTATGTCAAACTTAATTCAAACGCTGCAAGTGCATGATAGGCTCAGTGCAGTAATGCCAATACACAATACCAATTCGCTGTCCCAAGTAGTCCCCAATTTGCGCCGGCCACCTTATGTATACAAGCGTGACTTTTATCACCAGCCAGCATTTCATGTTCCATGGCCCTGGCCCTGGCCCCAACCACATGCCCGCCACAGGTGAATGCAGGAAACAACCAAGTCCGAAACCTAGAATGCAGTGCAGTGATGGCGTGGCGAGGCTAGGTCAGTGCAGAACCCTGCCAGTCAATCGATTCATGGCATATGCCTGCATGGCAACGCGGTCCGGTGGTTTCAAATGCCACCGACACTCCATACACGAGCACCTATCTCACGACCGGGCCGTTATTCCTATTGTCCCGTGCCGTGTTTTTTAAGACCCCTAGAGCGATTCCTATGATCAGGGCCAGCACGAAGACGATGACGGCGGCCAGGAGGACGAGGCAGATGATAACACGTCGTCTTCGACGCCGCCGTGCCTCCGCCACCGAGCCAAGTTTTACGGTTCGCGTCGATGCAGTGATGCTACCACTTCCAGTAGTATAAGCCGACGGCAGTTGATCGTGTTGTGTTATGGATGCTTCTGATCGTTCCCGGTAACACTGGGATGATGCTGCTAATGGTAGTCTTTGCAATGGGACAGAATCCGGTTGCTCAACCCGCCGGTTGCTCTGCGTGCCGGTCCAATGGGATGCTGGCCGTGTCTGTGCCGTTATGTAAGGACTTGAATGTTGGTCACGAACATAGGGCGGCGGCGGGCCGTCTGGCATAGAAGTGGACAGCACTGCAGTTTGGTGCCACGACGACGGCCCAGTATTGGCAGCCGATTGGTTTGGAGAGGCAGTCGATGATGCCGAATAGGACGTGGTGTTGTTTCCGGTTACAGAAGTTGCGAGGCTTGTCGATGCCGGTGTGCTGGCATCTCCATGGAATCCACTCCCCGGCTGGTACGGGGCATCAGGATAGGCGGCGTTTGGTATAGACTGCGACGGATGGTCAGGGCTTTCTTGAGGCGGTGCGAGATCCTGCCATGTGCTGCTCATGATGGCAAGATTGGAAAGCTCAGGTAACTGAACAGAGCCCAGTTGTGCCGGGCCCGGGTTGTTGTGTTGGGAGAGATTTCGAGGATCTGGCGTTCCAAGCTAATCACGGACCTTTGCCAGCAAGATCTCGACGATGTTGCTTTCGGCCAAAGGGTGCCGGTTTCAAGCACGGTGGTGAAGTCGGCCTCCTTCAAAATAACGGTACGTATGCCGCAGCAGCTAGGTTCCTCCCAGGTCGATAGGTGAGAGCACTGGGCCAAGCAAAGCGCGATCCAGGTCCAGGTTGATGCGAAATTCAAACCCTGACGGTTCCGTTGTTTGTGTCCCCAGGCGGTCTTGGCTGGCTCCAGGCGCCGATTCGGAACAAAGGCTCTCGTCGGAGCTGCCGTCTTTACTTGGACTTGGGCGGCATCTGGAATCGATTCAATGCAGTAATCCGGGAAAGAGACTGCTGCGAATAACCTCGAGGCTTTTGGAGTCGTGGATTAGCCCAGGAGAAAATGGCAAGTCGTCAAAAGGGAAGGCTCGGACAGGGCGAAGACAACCATCCAACTCGGACACGGACCGCTGGCTACTACTACTACAGGGCCTCACGCCAACAAACAAAAGAGTGCCGGGGTTTTCAATGGAAGGGGACTGATTGTACGGGACACTCCGTAGATGGTACAACGAGACCAGTTTGTTCCTGGTATGCATGCCGTTTGCCCCACGGCCAATCTCGACTCCAGTCGCCCCGCCCCGGCAGTTTGGCAGCGCAGCCTCCATTGTCCAGTCAATTCAATGTTCAAAGGTCTCGGCGGTGTTGCCCGCGCTGTGTGTGCTGCCTGGCGGGTTGGCATTGCCCCGATCGGCACAGCCCCAGTGCCGCCTTCCGCCTCCCGTCAAGCATTGCGCGTCTTTGAACCAGACCAGACGTCTTGCAAGCAATTGATTCCACTCTCCAATGCTCCGTGTCGAGACCCGACTACTTAAGTACTTACTTTACATATGGATGGACTACATGCCGTTAGTTGATGACAGTCCACGATGATTCCGCTGGCTAGCAGCAACCCTTTCCCCTCATTCCCCCCGCCTCCCCGCCTCTCCGTCAACAACTGGGCAGCCGCAGACGACAAACATCATCCATCAATTAACCACAAGACGATTGACTCGATCCACACCTGTCACCCACCAGACACGACTGGACCCAGTCAACCTCAGCGGTGCCCGTATCCGATTGACGCCCAGGCCAGGAATAGCCGTCCGGTCCGCCAAGCATCCCTCGCCAGCAGCACCGACTTCCCACTGCAAAACACCAGGCATCATATGCGCAAGCCTCGGCGCTGCTAGCACCGCTCGTGGGCAAACCCCCCTCCCTCCCCATGAGCAGGCCAAATACGCAACACTCGCCAATGGCACCCACCCGCGGAGCTTTTTTAAACTCAATTTCTCGCCGTCAAGGTGATTTTCACGGGGGGGCAGCTCTCTCGGTGCTCCACGTGGAAGGCAGACGCCATCCGGAAAGTCATCGACGCCACGTACTGGGTTTTTTTGGTTGGGTAGGTACTCCGTAGAGAGCATCATCATACGTCCCATGTTGCAAACAAAACACTTGACTTGACACACAACGTACCACTTGACCGTAGCCAGGCCAGGGTGGTGCCCGGAACAGATTGACGAGTCATTGAATCAACCACGTGCTCCAGACAGCAATTGTTAGTTGCATGCGCTGCCAGAGCGCATTCGGTGCCAGGTACACCATACAGAGTACAGTCAAGTATCTCCCTGGTGTCGAGTGAAAAAAAAAATGCCGTCACCGTCAACATATACTTGTCGAGGTACTCCCCAATCAAGTCGTCAGCAAACTAAGCCTCTCTCCTTTTTCTTTTTTTCGCGCCCGTCCCCGTGTAGCACAGTACAGTCATATCAGCCCATGCAGCTGACATCACATCGCCAAGGCGGCACATTCTCGTCATCGCACATGTCCAAAACTGTCATTCAAACGGGGAATATGTATTCGCTGTCGCTTTTGTCTAACGCTCACAGCGCTCCGAGCTTACCATGCATGCTTTGTTCTGCGGTGACATGCTGCTGTGCTTTGCTGTGTCTGCTGTGCGGTGCTATGCTGCCTTTAATACGCTGACCCCTTCCAACCACCAATGTCTCGCCCAAGATATCTTTTCTCATACTTGATAACTTCCTTCTTCCCTGGTACACATCACCCTCCGTAACCTAGATACTGCGATATTACTCCCTGCTGTAAATACATTTGCTCCGCAACTCTTCCAGCCATTCATTGGCTATTCTGTACCATGCTTGTCGTACAGGTGGTATAATAAGTGAATTACTTTTTTCTTTAGCCGCGTTACCTAATACGGCGGTTTCGTAAGATTGCCCAAGCTTCCTTCGCCTGATCGGCTATCTATTCCCCTTAAAAGTTCCTGCAAGTCTATGCCCTTACTGCTGCTCTCCTCCCGAACCCGCATGGAATGCGATCGTAGACTTTCACCTCCGCGGCTGGCAAGCGTGCGCCTGCTCGAGGGAGACTCAATGGATTGCATGCCCACCCTGCTTGATAGCGAGCTCAGGTTGGGTAATGGTGGGACTGGAGGCACTTCGTCGTCATCTTCCCCGTGTCTGTGGAACACGGGTAGCCCGCCGTCTTGGGAGGCCGGATTGGATGACAGCGGGCCCCCCTTAAGGGACGCCGAGGCAGAGAGTGATCGTGCAAGCGCCTCGCCTGTTGTGGCAGGAGCATCTGCTTGCGAAGCAGCAGGGTTAAAACTGTTCTCAGACACGCTGTACTCGCAGCTGATCATGCTCTCGTCGCTATCGTCCTCCGTGCCGGGAATACCAGCAGCCTGCGGGGTTGTCTTGCCTGCTAATACCATCTTTAACTGCTCTACGGATGCTATGCCTGCTCTTCCCGACGTCGAGCCTGCCGGTGATACTCCTCCGGTAGCGCTTGACTTTCGCAGTTTGGACACGGACGTCAAGCGGTCACCATGCGTGTACGAGGTATGGGGCCGCACGTTCTGATGGCTTCCGCGCGGGGAGGCAGGGGCGGGCAAGTGGCCATTGCCATTGAGGGCGGCGCCAGCAGTATTGATGGTGAGACGGTTCTGCGTCGTACCAGTGGTGCCAGTCTTTGATCCATTAAGCGATTCAGACTTGCCAGCGGCAGTGATGGCGGCCAGAGCAGAATCCCTGGACCAGTCAGCCACCATCTGCGCCCTAAATTCGGGTGGCAGCTCCGAAAACTTCTCGGGAGATGATTCAGCTCCAGCGTTAGAACTAAGAATAGGCCCGTTGAGGTTCCGGCTGGGTGAGGCCGTGGGGCTGGTGGGTGGTGACAAGTCGGTGTCCTCGTAGCTAGTGATGATGCACTCAACCATTGAGGATCGATCGTCAAATGGCAGGATCTCTTCGGTTTCTAGGGCACTGAGGTCCCAGTTCGGGTGCGGCCTTGCTTCTCCGGGAGTGCCAACCTGACTGGGTGTAGGAGCCGGGACATGTACACCCTCTACCCAGAACCCCTTGCTCTTCCGCCTGGAGATTTCGTTGTACACTGCGCGACCAACCACCGACGACTCAAAATCAAACTTCTCAGTCAAGGCCCAAAAGTAGCCGTGACAGAGCGAGGCGATGCGCACTTTGTGAATCGGCTGTACCAGCTCTTGGATGTCCTCCTGCAGTCTGTACACCATGGGAATACCGCATCGAGTCGCATTGACTCCGAGCTTGAAGACAAGCTTGGTGAGCAAGCTATGCAGGAGAACAATATCGTTGTCATAATCCACGAACTGCAATGCGCTGTCATAAATTGCGAGGTGAAGAAGAGGCAGGAACTGACAACGATGAACCTTGTGGTGGCGCTCACGGTTTGATGTGTTGGAGACGGCCCTGCGAGCGCTTGGGACATCACGGCCAATCTTGCTGTTGCGATGCGAAACAATGACATCATCGGTAGCAATCAAGTCCGTGTACGCAATTTCGCGATCTAGCCAGACGCTCAATGCATCCACGTATGCTTTGCGAACGTTTCCATTCGGGTCTCGGAGGAGCCATTGCGTCCCTTCCCATACTTGAATGGGAACTCGGTTTCTGGTCAGATCCATGTTGCCACTGAGGCCCGTCTTAGGGCTAGCGACGAGTAGGATAGCTTTGATAATCTTCAACGCGGACAATCGACCGGATGAGTGGGCAAAGTAGGTCTCTTGCAAGGTCTGGCTTCCCGACAGGTCAACGACAGAAGCGGCGTTGGCATCAGCCCCAGCATCTCCCTTTTCCATGAGATGCGCCAAGGATGCCACACTTGCAGCTCGGCTGTGTTTGATACGGCCAACCAGGGCCGCAATCATGTCCGAGACTTGGTCGGCATAGTAAACGTGATTGGCAAGATCACTTGTGCAATCCTCTAGCCTCTCGAGGAGTTCGTTTTGCTGGGTGCGAGTAGCACTGTCCAGCTCCATCTCAGCCTTCTCTTCACTCTGGCTACTGTCATGACCGGATCCATTGTGTAACTGAAACAGCTTTTTAATCTGTTTGACGAGCCCAAGAAGGACGTCCATGACACTGAGGCCAATCAAGTTGACATCTGAGCGAAGCAGGGACTGCATCATGGCCGTGAAGGCCAAATGCTGCGGCAAGCTCTCCTCCCGCATGGGCGTTTTATTCAACATGTCAAGAGTCGCGAGAAGAATGACGTATCGATCCTGCACGGGTGTCCAACGGGAGATGATGTCGTAAAGCTGAATAGCCCAACCAGAGTCGCGGCCAGATCCTCTGTCAACGGTGACGGGAGTCTCCCCTTCTGCAATCCTCGTGGAGACAAACTTGAGCAATGCATTGGTGGCTCCGTAGATCTGGGCCCTGTTAGGGACGATGAAGATGCTCTTCAGGCATTTCGTGGCCAGTACTCCTGTTTCCTCCTCGGCAAGATTGTCAACATCCAGCGCGGTGCCGGAGAGTGCGAGGGGGTTTGTGTCGCCGGCGGTTTCGGCAGTTCGGACAGTGGCTATACTCGTTCGGCGATGCAGCCTCTCGGGTTCGGATTTCTCGCCCATCTGCACGCGCTGCAGCAAGGTGTCAAGGAATACATCGTCCCTAGTCCACATGTTGTCGAGAATCTTGGGCACGATGACATCGATCTGTCTACCAGATTTGGAAGACAGGGCATCCGAGCCAGCAATATGCATGATGGCCGCGAGGCCCGCGTTCCGCCAGCGAATCTGCAACGGTTTACTGACAGGACCCTTGGGTGGTACGCGTCGAGTCCAAGCCAGTTGAGCGTAAGATTGGACCACGGATTGGTATTGTTGCAGGTAAGCATTGTCACCAAACAGCGAAGATGCGTCGTGGTGTTCGCAGAAGGCTTCGAAAGTAGGCAATGATGACTCGACCATGGTGATTTCGTCGGAGCGTAGAATCAGGTCGAGGATTTTGAGAACGCACGGCGCGATAAGAGCAGCTTCCTTGGGGGGCTTCTCGACGAGGGCAGCCAGAATACCCAGCGTCACCTGAACATTTCTATATGCGGCCAACACATTTGTTGTCAGCAACCCGGTTTGTTCGTGACCACGACAACACGACAGAGGATGAAAATGCAACAACAAAGAGCCATGGGTGTGTGTTGAGGAGGTTCACGTACCCGATTCGCATGCGCCAGATATCGTGGGCAGTCTTCTTCTCGAGGAACGCGCCAATCTTTTGGATCTTGGAGCGACGGCTGGCGGCATAGAAGAGGAGATAGCTCAGCTCACTGCTATTGGGGACGACATCAACCGCGCCCTTTGTAATCCTTGGATAGCACTTGAGCACCAAGACCTGGTGTTTCGGCCGGCATCTGTCATGGATGGCCTTCATGGCGCCGGCGTTACACGGTGTTGTCGCCTCCCCTTGGACGACAGGAGAAGATGGTGAGGTGAGTGTCAGAAAGGGAGGTTTCTCCGGGGGGGGACGCTGCGCACAAAGGGGTGGCAGTGAAGCAGTGAAGCAAGAGCTGCAGCGAGGTACCGAGGTGGGAAATTAAGGTATCATGGAGAAGCGGGAAACAAGAAACGAGAAACAAGAAACGAAAAGCTAATGGAAGGATGCGGAGAGGAGACGGGATGTCGCGGCTGCGGATCCGGAGGGAAATGTACAATGACGAGCTGCAACGACGATGTTGGTTGACACACGCGCGCTGGCAGTCCAAAGTTCAATGTTGCCAGTTGCCAGTTTCCACGGCCCTGTCGGGCCCTGTCAGGAGGTGGACCAGCGTGGCCAGACGCGGTTTAGTGCCTTGAGGGCTGCGTTTGTCTCCAATCAGGCGCCATGTCGCTTCGGGTGCCCAGGGCTTCAGTTCTTTCAGGTTCTGCAGAGGGCCAAGAATGATACTTGGCATTTGTATGGAGAGCCGGGCGTGGGCTAGGTACCTGGATATTTGAGTATCCATGCATGCATGTATCCTTTTTGCTCGGATAAAGTCGCCAGACTGACCAGGTACGTACTTTAGGCGCCCAGATACCTGGGACGCTCTGCCCAACCTGGAGCAGATGGAACGGAGCCGGGCAATTTTTGGGGTCATTTAGTCCTGTCCGAGCCTACAAACCCAGGGGCTAGCAGCGATGCTGAGGTCTCTCAAGTACTGCTACAATGGGCCGTCAACAAACGACTTGGACAGGACGCGAGGGTGACACTGGCAGGGCGGCCATGCTTTCATCTCACACGGTCCAACAGAAGTCTGTTTCAATTTCAGGGTCAAAGTCCCTGTGCCTTTATTCATTTGCATCTGGATCTAAATTCAGACGTTGAGAACTTGAGCACAAGCCGATGGCTCCGTCTGAATCCAAGCACGGGTACGGGGTATCGTGACGGAATGCAATGCAAGCAATCCTTTGCGCTGCGGGCAAAACGCACCTCACCACCCGCACCTGCACCTTCCGCCCCATCTCTATCACCATCCTGATCTCCATCTCCAGCCTCGCGCCTCATACCTCGCAATAACCACCAGCTCTTTCGGGCGCCAACTGCAGCAAGGCCGGGCGTTTGATCCTTGTCGCCAGCGGAATGAAGCATGGACATGTCGCTCGCTCCCTTTCGCATGGCCGATACTACTAGTACTGCATCCGTCGCCCGCCAACCCAAAGGTCAAAAGTGTCCAAGTGTCAACCCCCTCAGTTCTCTGTGCAATCCGTGCTTCACATGGGCAAAGACGACGCCAAAGGAGCCATTTCCAAACGCTGCCTCGGCGCGCCTAATCGACTACTTACTTACATGCTTACCCAGGGTTGCTGCACCAATTTGTTCAACGGGATGCACGGCAACTGGGGCCATTGCATTTCTAGCCTGAACTGTCTTCCCCAGCCAGCCTATCGGATTCTCGCTGCTCTTCTGGGATAGCTCAATCTGGTTGTCTCGGTGGTTTCCCTTCCTCGCTGGCTGCGAGATCCGGTTTCCCACCCACCGAAAGCGTCCTCATTCGCTCAACGCATGGCCAAAAGCGACCAGTTGACGTCTCGTCTCACATTGCTTACCCTATACAGCACGTGGCCCCGGCTGCGAACCACGCGCATGCATCCCGCGACCTCTTTTTTTGTTTCCTTGCACAAACATAACCAACCCTCATTTGTCAGAGTATACATCCTTTGTCGTTCTTTCATTTTTCTGGTGGGTTGAGGAATATGGGAAGGGGTTGTTGCGATTTTAGTGAATGTGACGATATTCCCGCCGACGCCATGCACAACCCGGCAGCTCTCCCCGCGAAAACGGGATGAGCTATTCATTGGACAGAACCCCAAGTTTTCACACCAGCACTTGACCTGACTAGACCCGTGATCGTCTGTGGTGGCAAGTGATCCATGGGAAACCACTTGACGAAATGTTGGGGCACAACAAATCTGGACGAGGCTGCCTTGACGTTCGCGTTCTCAGTGAGATGGACGGAATAGTTTGCAGCTGTCCTTTTTACCACATCCGGATTCAAAGTCGCCCATTTGGTGGCGCCCACCCCAAAGTCTGTTGTTCCCGTGCTCGGTATGGATGTCCATGGCATTCACATTTATACCACGAAAAGGACTAGCATCTACTCTGTATGTCTGTACGCTTCGTTGCCAAGTAGTCCAAACATGGCACATGCAGTGGGAGGCAAATATATTTCACAACAGTCTGTAGTCCACGTATCGGCTGCTTTAGGCCATCACCCGGGACACCGGATAAGAAGCCACACTCAACAAATGTCTAGTACTACAAGAAACACGCAAGCTGTGCGACGAGCCTCGAACTCCCAAAGCCTTGTGCTACGCCTCCTCCATCCATCGTGCTTACACAGCAGCCCGCCCTCACCACTCACCATCCCAGCCTCATGACCGTCTCACCGGGCCCCAAAGCCTACGTACCCAAGCCAAGAGGGTGGCAATTCCAATTCGTCACTTTTAGCTGCTGTCCGAGTGGCAAGACATGCCTACATAACACGCGAGTGCGAAATCAGGTAGATTTGGGAGTCGAGTAGTTCGGCCCAAGCCGTGCTCCGTACTGGGAATGAGGAAGGACTTGTTGCTGTTTAGACTTGGGGCGTAAGCACAATTTTTTTTTTCAATATTAACCTGTGGTAATAGAAAACAGTGGAGGTGTAAATCTAGACTAGCAATTCAGTATTTGCTTTATTTGAAATGCATTGTTCAAGGTTGTTTAGACATGTGCCGTCTCCCCGGAGTAGTCGGTGTATATGCGTCCAGGACGAACAAGGTCGGGGAAGCCGAGTTGTCAACAGCAGTGTTTATGAAGAGCAGGCATGCGGCAAATGAGAAGGGACTCACGGTAAGACAGTGACACAAAAAGAGGACTCGACCAAGCACGCCTGCCATGGGTGATGGCAACGTGTCTACCAAAAGGGGGGAGCGTGTATAATCGACGAACCCTCGACTCGTTCTCTCCATCAGCACGACTGTAGCATAATCCTTGATATACCAGTAGTATGAAACTTCCCAGCCCTCACAAAGACACTGCCACCTTCATCTCGGCAGCCTCGCCGTCTGCTTGTGCAACACCGTCCCCCGTGGCCCTAGCTTGTTCCGGTCACTGTTCTGTGAACAGAAAATATCTGCTGAACCCAACCAACCCCCCGGGCCGCCAGCAAATGTTTCAGACACAACATTGTCGGGCCCTTTTCCCGCCAAAACTCCCAACGGGGGGCCTGCAGAAAAAGCTCTCGCCACCAAGGCCACCCGGCGTCGTCCCGGCCAGCAAAAACACCACACAGCTCGCCCGGCTAGGATCATAGCATCCTCCCACAGATCCTGCAGGAAGTTTCCGACTGGCATCCCTCAGCCGAATCAGGCCAACCCACCATGCGGAACGAGCTCCCTTTGCTCACCGTCTTCTTCGTGGCCGTGTCCAGGTCCGCCCCCCGTCTCGAGGTATAAAGCGGACGTCGTTTCTTGCCATGAAGCCTGAAGAATTGTGTAAATCAAGCGGTGAAAAAAGAAAGAAAAAACCCCCCCAACAGCGTACACCATCTACTTGTACATCTCCGCCTATACAGTACGACTTGTCGCAAGATGCGTCTCTCTAGCATCCTCACCCTCGCAACCGCGGGCATGGCCACGGCCGCACCCGCGGAGCTCCAGCAACGACCACGCGGCAACTTCAAGGCCGAGATGCTCGCCGCACACAACTTCTTCCGCGGCCAGCACGGCGCGAACCCCCTCTCCTGGAAGGGCAACCTCGCGAGCAAGGCCCAAGACTGGGCTGACACCTGCCGCTGGTCCCACGATGTAAGTCGGCCCCGGCGCGGTTTCACCAACCACGCACAGAGTATACATGCTAAAACAGAGCTGACACGATATACAGAGCGCCGGCGAGAACCTCGCGGCAGGCACCGGCCTCGCCAGCTGGGGCAGCTTCGTCAACCTCTGGGGAGCCGAGCGCACAAAGTACAACTGGGCGGACCCAGGCTTCTCCCCGGACACCGGCCACTTCACGCAGGTCGTCTGGAAGGCCACCCAGTCGTTCGGGTGCGGGTGGAACACGTGCCGCGGCGGCAAGGGCAAGGCCAGCGGCGTCTACGTCGTGTGCAAGTATGCCCCTGCGGGAAACTACGTGGGCCAGTTTGCCGACAACGTGGGCGAGCAGACGGAGGGGGAGGCCAGCGACGTGTGGCACAAGTAGTAGACCCGGCTTGACTTTTGGGCACGAGACAGAAACCATCTTGTTGTGAAAAAGGAGAAAAAGGAAGTATATAGTTGCCGTGGCGCTCTTGGCTCGAAAAAACGTGTGATTTGCTGGCAAGGGAGCAAGCGTGGAGGTGCACCCTCGGGAATCGATAACGTATATAAAGAACTGACTGGTCGCCAAGTTGACGGTAAAGATGGACATCATGATTGATGATGGGGCTTTGAGAAACGGTGTGGGTGTAGAGTAGATGGCAGCAATACAAACCTCGGGATGGAATCTGACCACGGCCGCCGCCCTCTGTCAATAGTTGACACGGCATCCATATGTGAAAGAGGTGTTGACGGCCAAAATCCACGGCCCCAAGGCCAAAAAGCACAACACAGGACATTGCACACACGGCCAGATCCGTCTGGACAAGGACTCCCCGCGTACCGTGTAAATACCGCCTTGCCGGTTGACACCCATCATACTTACACGGCAGGCATGAAGCCGCAGGTCGGCACAACCACCAACCGATCTGCTGTCCCCGCGTCATCCCCGCCTCGCTCACATCACACCAACATCATCCCATCTTCTCCCAGGATTTAGCGACAAAAAAAAAAACCATGGCATCCATCGCCCGCTACAGCCTCATCTTCTACGCACCGCCCGCCGCCGTCGAGGCCTGCAAGGCCGCCATCTTTGCCGCCAGCGCCGGCCGCTACCCCGGCCCGGGCAACTACACCGAGTGCTGCTGGTCCGCGACCGGCACCGGCCAGTTCCGCCCCGGCGACACGGCCAGCCCGCACCTCGGCCGCGTCGGCGCCCTCGAGCAGACGCCCGAGGTGCGTGTCGAGACGCTGTGCCTCGGGCTGGACGTGGCCAGGAAGGCTGTCGCCGCGCTCAAGGGGTATGAATTTGCCCGCCCTGTCTGCCCATCTCGTCTGACTGCACTCTGTTGGTACCGTGGCCATTGATTGACTTTTCGCGTCGTCGCAGAGCGCATCCCTACGAAGAGCCGGCGTACCAGGTCGTCAAGCTGGAGGATCTATGATGAAATAAATCTCTTGCTTGCAGCTTCAAGTTGCGCACAGGGGGAAATGCGTCTTTCAGAAAAAAAAATGAAGAAAGAAAACGCTCTTGTTCACCAACGCCCAGTGATTATATCGAAAAAATATGGTGCATTTGCTCCTCATTTGTCATCTACTGGCTCAACGTAACAAAACATGGGACATGACCTAGTCACTCCTGCTCCTGCAACCTGTATAGTGTACGCATATCGATTCGATTGTGACCGTCTTCTCCCCGACATAGGCTCTAACCATCAACGCATTAATACCCTCAACGCCGACATTCCTGCTTTTTTAAGCCACCGATGCAATCACAAGTGCCGCCACGTTTTCTTCCTCGCTTCTGACTGTAATCTTTGTTGTCACCCCAGACTTTGATGAAAACGCCATTCTCACACTGGCCACCACCCTGCCGCCAGAAATAGTCTTGCCCAGCAGCTTGAGTGTATGTGTGCTCTGGTTGACCGGCACGTCTGTGCCTTCCAAGGGCTGCAGTGAAAGAGCCTTGGCCAGTTGCTCCGTGGCATCTGCAACGAGTCCATGTTAGTTGACCAACATCTTCATTCGTTTGGGAATCTCGAATACACTTACCGGCGATGCTCTTCATGCCGCTCAGCTGCAGAGTCTCCTCTGCCTGCTCTCCCGAGGCCCCAATCTGTTCCCACAGGTGACTGAAGTTGCTGGCAAATGTCGGCACAATGTAGTCACTACCGCTGAGATCAAACTCTGATACCTCATACTCGTCATCGTAACCAGTATCTTCCGGCTCCCCGGTTGACGGATCAATCTCCTTGCTTGTGAATTTCAAAACGTTGGAGAATGAAGTAACAGGCATAGATCCCTCTCCATTGACCTTTTGGAACGCAACATACACCTTGCCAGGCTCGTCGGTGGCAAGTTTCTCGCACTGGATGATGAAGACTTCCTCTAGCTCGTCCTCCTCCCCGGGTGTAGCGACGACCGACACATTCTCCAAGACGGTATCTGGCAGAGTGTTCTTTACTTCGTACTGAAGAACAATGTGCTCCTTGAAGATGTGTTTCACAACGGTCACAACGTATTCGGTCTCGGCCTCTGTCAACTCGACGACTGTTGAAGACTTGAGAACATTGCCAAACTCCTTCATCTCGGGGATCTGCATCAACTCCTCGGCATATCGCTGAGCCTGAGCGGAAGCAGAAGCCGCAGCCTCGGCACCGCTGACAGGAGCCTTGGCAGCGCCGACCTTGGGTGCTTTGATGGTGGGTGCAGTAGCTGTGAGCTTCTTCGTCCTGTCCTCGGCATCCGCTTGCTCCCGAGTGACGACGGGAATTTTGGTGATATCGAAGGGTTCTGCAAAGGAGCCTTTGTCGTCAGAAGTGACGTACATGACAAGCTGGTGCTCGAATACTGGCAGAGAGAACATGTTTTCTAGGTTGAAATTAGCCTTCATTTTTCACCTCAGTCATCGGCGTAGATTTTTTTTCTTGCTTACCATTTTTGACAAAGTTCTGCGCCATCTCGTCATCTTCCTCACCCATGAGTTTCAAGTTCAGAGCTGCACGGTCACGGACCTCGTCATCGACATCATCCAAGCATCGAGTGAGAAGGACCTTGACGCTGGCCTTGACATCAGGATCTTTCTGTCCCACACCAAATTTGGCCAGAGCGGTAACTGCAGCAGCCCGCACAATAGAATTCTCGAGAACAACTCTGTTGTAGATGTATCGAATATACTTGGTGGGTTGAGAAGTCTTGGGCCCTTCCAAACCAATAAGGTGTAGAATACGGACAGCAAGCTTTGTGAATTCGCAGTCCTCGATGAACTCGCAGAGGTGGGCCAGGGCCTCATCCTTGGAGTCGGGAACAAATTTGATCAAGTCAAACATGCTTTCGACAACTGCACGCTTGAATTCGTATCCACCCTCGTCTCGCAGAATGCTGCTGAGGAAGGTCAGCATACCCGCCTGCTTGCTGGGGAACTTTAAGCAGAGCGTTCGGATGGCCTCGACAATGGTGATCTTGAACTCGTCGGTGATCTCAGACATGAAGCTGGAAATTTGCTTCATGAGTCTGTCGACACTCGCCTCATTTCCAGTCTTGAGGAGAGTGGTGATGGCGAAAGTGGCAATGGATCGGTTCGCATTTGAAATCAAGAGCTCGATGTCGGGGTTGCAAACACTGACGGCAGTAGGCTTGAAGGAAGCAAAGCTGTGGAGGATTCGGAGGGCGGCAAACTTGGTTACGGCTCGGGGAGAAGTTAAGAACATCTGGAGAACATGGACTGCCTGGTTGACCTCGCTATCGGTGACGTCGCGCATGTCGCAAATGGCCTTTGCGGCCTCGAAATTGACCATTTCACTCTTGTGGCGCAACCAGCCGTCAAGGAGCTGCATCATGGGCTTTCGGAGGGAAGCATCTTCCTCAGCAAGCTGAGCAGCCAGTCGGACAAGCATGACCGTGGCAGCGGGGTTCTTAACAGCACCAGCAGCGCCAAACTGCTGCACCATCTTGACCAGGGCCATTCTGTCGTGCATTCGCATCTGGTATAGCAGTCCGATAGCGTGGTACTGGGACATTGTCGAATTGTTCATGGGCATCTGGCTGCTTGACGAGGAGAATCCGAGTGAGAATCCGCCAGAGGACTTGGTCGAGGCAGCGGCCTCTTGAACCTCGCTCTGCCAGCGTCGAACAACGTCCTTGGCGACGGGTAGCAGGTGGTATGACGAGACTAGTGCGGCCGATGAGACTGAGGGATTCTTATCGACGATTGCTGTCTTCATAACTCGCTCGATCGCCTGGACAGAGGTGGCCTTTTGGGGGTTAGTTTTGGACATTTGCGGAACGCTCGAGATTCGGGGGCACAAACGTCAATGATGCGGCACAAGGCCCGAATAGCGTTGGGTCTGAAGATGGCATCACTGCTGCCACCAGTATCCTTCATAATTGTGGCGGTAACCATGATGATATCCTCGGCAGAGCTGGCCAACTCCTTAATGACGAGGTGGACCATCTGTCTGAGGCTGGCATCCTTGTTCTGGAAGAGTTTGGAGATTCCGAAGAAAAGGGTAGTCGCTTCGTTGGTCGGGAACTTCTCCCCAGTGTAGAGGAGAAGAGCAATCTTGGTGAGTAGGATTCGGCATCGTCGCGGTTGAATGGTGCCTTCGTTGAATATACGTGCTGCAATGTGGCATTAGACGTTATGCAAAGGGAGCAGAAGGAGGCGGGCACCGCCAGATTGAAATCGGGCGAATTGACTCGAACTCACCTTCTTGAAATACTTGGGTTCGGTCCACCTTGACCAGGCCCAGGTCGGCGTCCTCGTCCTTCTTGCCGTAGCTCATTTTGGGCGCTGCGTCGGAGGAGGATTGGTCGTGAGGTGTCCAGCTTGACTTCAAGCACAGCACTAGATAATCAACCACGTTGGCACTTGGAGTCTCAGGGATGGGGGGCGGGCCTCTCACGTGATACCCCACCTTTCGTCGTAGTCGACGTGCCAGACAATTGGTGGGCCTGGTCCGGGTTTAATGTTTGGGCATGTGGCATTTGCAGCAATGTGTCTAGCTATTTGGCTCAATTCATTGTTAAAAAAAAATAATAATAATTAGAACTTTCCCTCCATAATAAGGGGGAAAACTATGACACAGAGCTACTTTTTATTAACTAGCTCCATAGTATCCTTCTTAATTTTCCCCCTATCTCTTTTTTTTTTCTTATATTCTTTACTGCCTTATTAAGTCTTTTAATTTCTTTAGTATTCCTGGCCTTTAATAATATATTCCTCTTTTTATTAATATCCTTTATAATAATAGCCTTTTTAGTATTACCCTTTTAGGCCTATTAGCTTTAATCCTTAAAGTTATAATAGGTAACTTACTTATATTAAGCTTATTACCTTTTTTAGTACCGGTTATAATTATAGTAAGGTTATTAACTACTAACCAAGTCTAATATTAGTAAGTGCTTTAAGAAGTAATATAAAGCCAGAAACCTATAAGTAGCTGCTTTATAAAGT